CCAAAATATTTCACATGAAGACATTGACGTACAAAAAAATCTAACTTATATTGATGATCCTGAAAATGAGAAGTTAAGGAATAAACATATTCCTTTTGTCAATAAATTTTAGTAACTAATGTTAAGAAGTTAAGGAATAAACATATTCCTTTTGTCAATATAAAGTGTAAGCACAGACCTGAAAATGAGTTACATTAGAAAAAGAAGAACAAATGAGACAGAAATATCCCTCTCTATTCAACTAAACTTAAGAATTTCGAGAACCAAATTTTTATAAGGAGAGGAGAGCTGTAACACCAAAAATTTGAGAAACAAAGTAAAAGTTTGACAATTTTAAAATGTACCCCAAAATTTCCATTCCTCGAAATTTAATGAAAGCAATTTTATAAAATTCTACATGACACATCGATAAATTTGATATATAACACTATATTTTAATTATGGATATAATGAAAGATATAGGAAAATAAGATATTGAGTTAATTAAACTTATTAATCCTAATTAAATTTCTAATCATTCGTGCACGCACTGTTAGGGCTTTAAATGAGCCGAGCTTGAGCGAGCTCAGGTTGGGCTCGTGTTCGCTAGTTTGAAATTGCTCGTTTTCGAAATCGGCTCGTGTTCGAAATTGGCTCATGAACAGTATGTTCATGATCGTCTCGATTTAAATATTCTTGTTCGCGTTTGGCTTATGTTGATCTCCAAATTGGCTTGGTAAAATTAATTAAAAAAATAGATGTAGAGAGATTCGAACTTGAACCAAATCTATATAAGAGAATGTGCAAAACCATATTACCACACGAGTTGCTATGAGTAAACTTAGATATAAATATATTATATATATAATTATATAAATAACATATATAATATATTAATATATAAATAATTATATAATTTTTTTTTATTTCAAGTTAAAATGAGCTGAATACGAGCAAACAAAGAGTTGTTTATGTTTGACTCGTTTACTTAACGAACGAGCCGAACACGAGTTGTTCACGAATAAGAATTCATTTTTAGAGCCCTACGCACTATAGCCAACGACCTTCCATCGAGTTTATCTGCCGCTAGATACGATTCAACGACTGAGATAGGGAGGGGATTATCTTAAGTGTTGCGAGCCACTCTGCTGTCTCAAATCTTCCCTCATGCAACGGTTTCCGTTGGGCTTCCTATAGCGACACGATCCGTTCGAGCAACAAAGAGCCATAGGCGGTCTACCGCGGTTCCAGGATAAAATTTTAAAATATGATTCTTATTTTTATGTTATTGTCAATTTCCTTTCCTTTCCTACACTTTCATTTTGACAATTGCCACAAATTAGTGCATTTTCCGTTTCCGATAGCTATAGCAGAGACAAAATTGTGTCGGAAGTGACGAACTCAATTTGTTAGCTTTCGTAAGGGTTTTCAGCATGTAATTAGCAAGGTTAAGAGAGGGTTAAAGAAATAAGAAGAGAGAAGAAGAATAAAAAAGATCAGAGAAGGTTTGGTCATGCCAACAAGCTCATTTAAGAAAAGATTTCGTAAATAAGTTTAATTTTTGGGTCAAATCACAAAATGGGCCAAAATTTCATGAAATCCTAAGATGGTTACAATTTCCAAGGTTTTCACACGACAAAGAGCTTGAAGCGGGCATGTAAAAAATCATCATAGGGTTATTCCATTAAGTTAGATTAAATAATCCCATGCTAAATTAAGAAAAATAATTCTCTATAGATTTTCAAATAACTCCATGATTAACATTGTAGCATCTAGAATTTCCTGCATATTGGGGATGAATACATGCATTGAATATATAAATGCAAATTAATTTCCCCTATATAATACATGTGATTTTACTATGCTAGGAATTTGATAAATATGCTTATAAAATCATTGACTATAGATATTCATTCATTATGGTTCATGCCTATGACATATGAAATATCTGATGTATGTTTGTTACATGAATTATGCTTTAAGAAATATTATAGGTAAGGTTATAGGTATACTATTACATGAGTACTTACAAGTACAAATGATAGAGATGTGGGGATTCCCGACTTCTCGTATTCAGCCGGTGACAACTATTGGGATCAGACGACGACAGAACATAAAGAACTGTTAGCACCAGGGGGCTATTGATAACTGTTATGCTAGAATAACACAACCTTTATCGATAGCTAATATAGTATACGGGCTAGATGAAGACCAAATGACATGACATGAAATGAAAATAATTGAGGTCTATACAATTATAAGTGACATTGTTATGATTAGATCGATGATTCTTACGAACATGCTTATGACTACACATGAATGAATGACATACATGTTGTATACAACAAACATGATTTTCTACATTACATATTTTCTTTTACATGTTCTATATGATTCCATATGACTTGTGTGTGAATATGTACAGCTACATGAGCATGCACATTGTTTCTTTTCAGTATGTAAAATTTTATTTTAACTTTGATTATTTCACATTGCTCGTTGTCGCTCACTCTGCGTTGCTGCTTTTCTAAAAGGGGTGAGCAACAGTGGAGCAAGTAGCCATGTGTGACTTTTACATCTTTTGCATTTCATAATTTTGGGAGTTTGTATAGAAGTTTGAGTATGTACTTTATTTATCTTGGATTTAGTAGCTTTGTATAGAAATATATGCTTTAATGATATAATTTCTACACTTCTAGGTACATGTGGATGTGAATGAATTATGAAACAAAATGTATCATATATATTTGCGACAATTTAGTTAAACCAGATTATCACCTAAGTAATCCTGATTCTGTAAGTCAGAACGAGTCTTGGTAAGAGTCTAATCTGATTGAATTGCCCACCTCTGTTGCACTTTACTAACTTAAAGAGGGGCCAGTTGGGGTGACATTCAACAACATTGAAATTGTACAAAATTTCAACATTTCTAAAGATCATGTAATCATCCATCAAACGATTTGAATTTCTTAAAGGATGGCTTCACTTGCATGAGACCTACAATCAAATTGAAGAAACCTTCCAAGACCATTAATGCGCAAATCGATCATCCCTACTTTTTCACATAGTTGATGAATGGTTAAAACATGATCTTTCAGAGATAATCATTTCACTTGATTTTTGTGAATTTTTTGTTGGATGAAGATAGGCTTTCAATGAACGATCTGTCAATTTAGACAAAAGACGACATATTGAAGGGCCCGTTGATCTTATGGGAAGTAGAGTTTCAATTTGATGAATTTAAAAATTGGAATGATATGATAGTAGAAAATGGGAGATTGTAACGTTGAATTTTATTCACCTATTTTACGTGCAAAACAAGATAAGAAGTTTAACAAAATTGGGAAGGAAGCAATTATGAAGGCAAGAAAATATCTAGATACCAATCTGTAATATGGAATTTAGGAGTAATCAAATAGAAGAATTAGAAAGCAGCCGTCCACTACTTGTTGGGTTGTTACAAATAGAAAGGTGTAGATCACATATTCAAAATAATTTCAACATATTCCAATAAAACTAGCAAAGAAAACCCTGCAAGGATCTTATATAAATTAAAGGAAATATTTTAGCAATAACTTGTACCTTATATCCATATGCAACTCCAACAGAGAAGAAAAAAACATGCCAAATAATATTTTACCAAAAACAATAAAATTTAGAAGTTCTTGTAATGTTATTTAGCTTCACTGATGACTAACTTAATATTCACAATTGCTCAAATAGATTGGAGCACCCAGCTTATCTATTGTAACTTCCTCTCAAAATAGAAATCTAAAAACCATGGAAGATATTGTTGATTTTAGACTCGAAACATTGTTGATTACAAAATTTCAAATTCTCACTCAAATATCAAAATTCACCATAAAATCCCAACCCTATTTTCATTTTTAACAAAATCTAAATGTTTTGATTGTGGGGCGTGTGAATGTATTGGTTAGGTAGTTCAAAAGAATTACTTGGGAGTTAATTTCGTAAATAGCAATTTTTCGAGTGCTGTGAATGTAATTTATCACAAAGAAGAAAAAAAGTACCAAACTTAGTATTAAAGTGTCCATGAATGGTCTGGTTTGTCTCTCTCCAATAAAACCCTAGAAGGCTGAGTTGGATAAAAAGTACAAGGTTCAAGACTAAATAAAAAAAGCGTAAAACTAGTTTCAACCTACAGCGAATCACACGTAACGCATTGGTACTGAGGACAATCAAGCATTCTCAAAATGGAAAGACATTTTTGCTTACATTATTCTTCTATTAATAGATGCAGTAAGAATTATGGAATTTCATTAATGAAGACAATATCAGCTGGCACATTAAATTAGAATACACTTCAATCAAATAAAACACGAAATCTATTACTTTCTTTGACTTGCACATTACATTTTAAGCGTCATAGGCTGCCTCAGAAAATAAGATAACAAAATAAAGTTATATAAAGGTGAAAGCCAATGCAAATATTTTCAATTAAACTTGAATGTTATGTTAAAAGGTACAAAAAATTGATGTACCAAGCTGTAAACAATTTTCTGCGGCAATTTAGAGCAAATTTCTACAACACGTTGCGGGAAATTTTCTACAGCAAGCTGCAGAAGATTTTCTAAATGTCGCAGAAAAGTGTTTCTAGCTCTTAAAAGCTGTTATAGAGTGAAATGAAAGAGTAGAAACAATAAACAGAAAAGTGCCTCAGAGTTTCAACATAAAGTTCAATGTTGAAAGGAAAATATGAGCATTAAAAAATGTTAAAAAAAAAAAAGAATTTACTTCTGTTTTTGCAGTTCAAAGTTATGATATCAATCCACTTAAATAAAAACTAAAACCTAAAATGTATGACAATGCTCCAATGTTTACAAAATAAGCATAGTCTGTCAGATGCAAGCACCACAGGAAAGGACGTCTCAGAAACATTGAAGATGAACAGCCAATTGATGAAAAAATTCCTTGCACTTCAAGTTCAAAAATAAACAATATAAAAAATACATTTTTAATATAACGACAAAATGTTTCATGCCAATTCTAATTCTAGATACCTGCGTTAGAGAAACATCCCCATATATGGCTAGAGCCAAAGTTCGTGGAATAGGTGTTGCTGACATGGTAAGAACATGAGGAGCCATATAAACCTTATTTTCAGTTGCGTTGTCCAGTCCTGAATTACCCATTCTTAGCCATGGCGACGTAGAATATAACTGCTGACATAGAAACTCATAAATATGTCATTAAGTAGAATAACAGGAATACAAATATGGGTAAACATAATTAAGAGAAAAGGATGATGATGGCCCGAATCAAACATATATAGACAACCGTATCCAGATGCCAAGCAAGAATCATCTATTTGAATTTGTTACATTCAGGGAAACTTACGATGGAGAGAAATAGTGAAGTGGAAAAATTAGAGAAGAAGATGAAGGGAGAAAGGATGGAAGTGCTTAGCATTATAGATATTAACGGGAAAAGATTACAACGCACAACAAGGAATTTCCATCTTAGTCCTGGCTACGAATCCTCATTATCTATCACAAAAAGAGAGATAAAGCAGAAATACTAGAGGAATGTTAAAGCGTGGCTTGAAAACTTATATTTTTCATCAATCATAAATGAAGTCATAGGCAGCTGCATTGTTAGTCGTAAGACCACTATGACCCGAGATTTGATCCCTACGGAGACGGATAAAATATGTACGTGTATATGTGCACGAGCGTGTGCGTGTTGAACCTTGATTTGTTTGTGGATCAACATGCTCAAAAAACGAGTTATAAAACAAGGGTTAGAACCAATAAATAGTGGGAAAAAATTAGACAAATGAGTACTCTTTGGTGCCGAGGGAGAATCCCTTTTTTCGTATGAAAACCTTTATTTATAAGAGGGTTGATTTACTTATCCACTGATCCCAAGTGGCACATTTTCTATATTTTATTGTCTTCTTCTAGTGCGGGCACTAAAATATTTCTCTTATAACACATTCTTTTAATTATAAATTATTCATAGGATGCTTCTCTTCTAGCAGTTCTTCTGGCAATCTTCCTCAGTAACGCATCTAATAGATTGGTTGGTGTTGCTGCGAATAGGCTACTTCGTTCAATTGGTTGTGAGGAGCATGGTATTGGCAGTTTCATACTCATATTGTGAGGCATATTTCTCAGACAAATCATCTGAATAGCCTATGACACACCTTGTTATTCGGTTTCAAGAGCAAACTTTTCCGACTTGTTCCCTTGGTCGAGTTACTTGGTCGAATCGGTCCTACAAATCTATCATGCTAGCTCGACGAGCTAGCTAACTTACACATTTGCTTTATACTTTGTGCTTGGTGTGTCAGTGATGATGAAGCAACACCGATCAGGCAAAATAAGAACTCTTTTTTCATTTTCCATTTTCCATTTTCCATTTTCATTAATTTTTTCTCTTTCTTTTTTACTACAATCTGACTTTTTTTCGTTGTACATACACTCATATATATATATATATATATATATATATATATATATATTGACAAGAAATCGTCAAGAAGCATAGACCTCATTATTGTTCGCATTGTAAGATGTTTGCGCATACCCTTGATAAATGTCATAAGTTTCATACTAATTTGAAATCTAAATATCAAGTGAATAAGGATGGATCTAAGGATATATCTGTCCCACCTGGAGAGAAAACTACCACAAAACATGATTTGATGTCTGATTCTATTACCTCTGTGGACCCTTTCCTTGAAAATACTGTTTTTGCGATCGATAGGAAGCTGGATGACGCTACAGAGCAACCAACACTTTCAAACCCTATTTAAAACAGTACTGAAGAACCCCTGCCTACACGGACTGATAATCATGTGAACATTGCAGCTCCCCATATTCTGAAAGTACAGCGGTAGAGGCAACAACTCTTCCCTCACATACATTTAAACCTCTTGTGGGCACAACTGTTGGCAATCTTTCTGCTGTAGCACTACCATCTCATCCAAATGAGCAACAATCTTCGGATGAGGAATGACAAGTCTACACTTTCAGGAGGAAGAAGAAGAATGGAGATCTAATTGAGCTAAGAAATCTAATAGATGATACTTTGGTTACTTCGGACAATGGTATACATCTCACCAATTTGTCAGCTGGTTCCCTTCCGAGAACTAGAGGAAGAGACATAACTAAATTGGTTCGACCCGATTGACCTTATATGTATCTTCTTTTGGGTTTTTAATTTTCTTTTTTTCCTATTGTGTGTGTTGTACCGTGTGGGTTGGGTGTCTATTTGGGCTCACTCATACAACTTATCTATACCATTTTTTTCTTTAATATAATTGTGCTTGGACTTTTTTTTTGAAAGCCCTGATATATTAAATTGAAAGAAAGATACATATACAATGTGTGGGAGGGCCAAGCATGACACCCTGCCCACACAATAACCACGAATGGTTCCAAAACTAAAAGATACAAAAAAGTACTAAGCATGACACCCTGCACTTTTTTCATCATCAGGTTCTCTACTCTATTGGGGTCATCCTTGGGGACCCTATGAAGCTAGATATACCCGCTTTTAATCTAACCAGACATTTTGTAGTTAAAATACTTGTGGAAAGAGATATTACATTACATGATGTTGCTGAAGTATGGCTGGGAACAACTCATAATGGATATTGAGAACAAATTGTCATGGAACATAGACTCCATATTGTACCCACTGTAAGACGTTTGAGCATATCCTTGATAAATGTCACAAGCTCCATCCTATTTTGAAATCTAAGGTTCAAGTAAATAAAGATGGGTCTAACCCCACTGCTCCGGATAGTTTAGTTCCACCTGATAAGGATACTACCAGACAGGAGGTGTTTATTTCCCTTGTGGACCCCCCTGACACTGCTGTTACTTTTATTGCGATTGATGTGATGCTCACACCTTCAAACCCCCCCATTGAAAACAATACTAAAGGGGACTATTACCTACAAAGGATAGTGTTCAAACTGATAATCAAAAGAACCTCGTAGCTCCCCACCTTTAGAAAGCATCTGGTGTAGAGGCAACTCATATTTCACATATACTAAAACCTATTATAGGTACTACGGTAGGTAATCCTTCTGCTACAACTCTATCACCTCATCAAACGAAGAATGACATGTTTACACCTCCATGAGGAAGAAGAAGAATGAAGATTTATTCGAGCTCAGGAGTCTTATGGATGATACTTTGGTTACTTCGAGCAATGGTACGAACCTTACCAAATTGTTACCTGGATCCCTTCCAGGAATAAGAGGCAGAGGCAGAACTAAATTGGGAAGATGACCCTTATTTTTTCAGCGCCCTGGTTTTTGGGTTTTTTTTATCTTTATATGTACCATTTCTAACTTTTTTTGGTGTTGTACCGCGTGGGTTGGGTGCTTACTTTTGGTCCCACTCATACAATATATCTGTATCTTTTCTCTTTAATAAATAAATAAATAAATAAATAAATATATATATATATATAGTTAGAAAAAACCTAATGGCTAATATAATAAAGAGAAAAATATACAGATCGATTGTATGAGTGGGCCTAAAAGAAGGCCCAACCTACACGATACAACACGCACAAATTCCAATTAAAAAAATACATATAAGATCAAAAAACCAAAACCACCAACAGGTGCAAAGCACTAGGGATGTCCTAATTTAGTCCTCCCTTTGCCTCTAGCTCTTAGAAGGGAGCTGACAAACAAATGGTGAGGTGCGTATCATTACCCGAAGTAACCAAAGTATCATCCATCAGATTTTTGAGCTCAAGTAGGTCTCCATTCTTCTTATTCCTCATCCAAAGATTGACTCATCTGATCAATGGATTGGTCCAAAGGTGGTCGGACAAGTGTAGACAGTTGCACATCATGAACCCCATGTGCCTAAGTAACATTAACATCTTGCTCGATCTGATGAGGCTGATAAGGTGGTAGAGAAGTAGTATTGTCATCTGTAACAATAGTGATAGGTTCTAGGACAGGTGGAGTCTGAAAAATCTCCTTCGCCTCCACAAAAGGAGGTTCCAAAGACGGGGGAACTACAACATTATGTGGAGGCTGAATGGTTGACATATTGCCTGCAAGAATAATGAAATTTTCAAGGGTATCATTTTGATGATCAATAGTGTCAATAATTTGAAGCTGATCAGGAGGAGATGGAATCACTGCCTCTGGCAGAGCACTATTTTTTTGGTTTGAGATTTGGGTGTAGATTGTGACATTGAGAACTGGAGTGACCAAACATATAATATTTTGAACAATACAAAGGGAAAGACTCAATCAAAACCTTTTGTCAATATCTATGGTGATGTGCGCCTAACCAAATTTCCTCAGAAGCGGTTGAAGTAATGTCTCTTTCAATAAGTACTCTGGTTTCAGATGGACAAGAAATATTAAAATTAGGAATATCCGTTTTGAGTAGCTTACCATAAACTGAAGCAATAAAGTACAATATTTTTTGAGTAAAATAATGAAATTTCAAGCCAAAAAGGCGAATTTAAACCGGAATGATTGGTGATTTCGTTTGTGGGTCAAAATCCACCGACCATTTTAAAATATTCATTGCTCTGTTATAAATCCTGATTACCTTTTTAAGAAATAATCGCGTGTAATCCTCTTCATTATTAAGTTGAGGAAGAATGTGTCTTCCATCTAAAAGTCCAATTTTTCACTCCCCAACAAGATGCATAAGCTCAAACTCCCTACGAATAAACTCCATTTTGGGATGGTCATAAAGAAATTTCTCGACCAAATTCAAACAACAGGAGGAAACAAGTTGAATACATTCAACTTCTGTAAAAAAGATGACATGCTTCTCATTCTTCCTACTAGATTTCTTGATATCCTCCAACAACTCAAACGAAGAAGGGAAAACACGATTTAAGAGGACCTGAAGCGTTGACACCTGCAAAGGCAGTAGCATACGATCTGTCTGAATCCATGACCAGAAAAGGGAGGCACGACGAAAAAGAAGCGAAATTATAAGGGACGGTAGAGCAAAATCCGAAATAGGGAACCCCTGCCAATTTGAGCAGAAGGCAGTTTCTACTAGAACCCGAGGAATGCAGAAGAAAAAATGCGGCGAGGAAGAAAACGAGAGGCGACAACGACGAAGGAAATGAGAGCGACGGACCTTCCAGGTGTGAAAATCAGGAAAAACTGCGGCTAAACAAATTGTCCAAAACGACGACGACGAAGAAAACGCAGCGAGAAGAAGATAACGTCAAAGAAGACACAGCGAGGAGAGGAAAGGATTAGATGTGATAAATCGCCGTAACAGTTTCTAGGTTTTGCCATGAGGCGAAACCCTAACAGTGCCGAGCGTGGGAGACGCACGCACATACGCATATATATATATATATATATATATATATATAGTGTATTGCCAAACGACTTAAGTAAGAGTTCCCTTAAATCTGAAGTGCTACAAACACCACTTCTCCACCCGCCTACTTATCCCGTTGATTCTCCCATGGGCTACATATTATAACTTCCTCCTTTCTTTCTCGTTGAGGACTTCAAGATGGACAAAATAGAAAGAGAGAGGGAGTAAAGGTGTCGAGTAACACGGGAAAGCGGTGTGCGTTAGCAGTAGTAGCATAGATGCACATGTTTACTTTTTATTTATTATTGTTTTCATCAAATGCTCTAGGATTGACATTAAGGCTCATTTGGTTGTTTGTGAATGGAAATTGTGTTCTGTAAATTTTGCTTTTTTCACTCACTTAAAGCATGTAGATGAATTAAAATTTTTAATGAAACTTTGAAAAGGCATGCAGAATTTGAAGTCAAGATTGTTGTCAAAATACATCCAACCAAATGATAATAAGCTCCAACATTTTGCAAAACAAGGTTTCTAATTTCAAAACATCAAGTGTGCCTTGTTAGTTATTTGTCTTTTAGCATTGAAAAAGTGCAAAGAAAAATTTATAAACCATCAGCTGAAAAGGTCAATAGATATGTAGATGTACCTGCATGCCAATTTCATTGGGTTACCCCAATGCCACATAGTGAAAAAACTTTAACCGCACCCAAATAAAGAAGGTGAAATTTAGAAAGACAATAAAGTATACTTCTGACACTTACGAAACTGGAACAAATGCATATAAAATCAAAAATGGAGAAACGCAGTTACTGTTACTGTTGTACACAAATATACCTTACTGTTAAACCTTCCCCTCTGGATAACACCAAAGCGATGCTGCTCATCAATGACAGTAAAACGTAAATCTGAAAACTCGACTTTATCAGCAATTAAGCTATGTGTTCCAATGACCATATTAATATCACCAGTCTGAAGGCTCTGCCATGTTGATTAACAAAAATCTAAGATCATTCACAGTTTTAAAAGACGGATCAGATTGGCCGGTTCGACCGCAAATCAGTCATTTGACCAGTTCGGTTCAAGCTCAAAACCATTTATGAATAGAACCAACACATTGAATCGGCTAGAACTATGGTCGAACCAAAAAACCAATCTGGATTCGAATATTGTCCAATTTAGTTATTTTGATTTTAATTAGATGACTAGAAATAAAATATTTAAAGTAAAAACGAAAAAAATATTATTTTCCAAAATTTTTATTTAGAATATTATTCAAAATATTCAAAAATGAAGTGTCTTAAATTAAAATATTATTTATTAAATTGATAAAATAATATTATTGTGTAATTATTTTATTATTTAAATTATAAAAAAATAGTTTTAATATTTATTATGTCATCCGGTTCAACTCCAATTATTATTTAAATTATAAAAAAATAATGTTAATATTTATTATGTCATCCGGTTCAACTCCAATTGAATCATTGAACCCAACCTTGATTAAAATTATGTGTGCCAATACAAAAAAGTACATGCCTTAAGAATCATCTTTGACTGCCTTGAAGGAGTGGAGCCAGTTAGTAAGGCAATAGAAGGTCTACAGTGTTCGTTCATATTCTCCAACAACGAACTTAAGAGCTCGTAATGCTGTATAGCAACTAGCTCGGTTGGTACCATGAGAGCAGCCTAGAACGAGGCCATACAAAAAAATAACTCATTAAAGTTTAAAATACAGCAGGGTAAAAATAATTAATCGAATATAGAGCATACCAAGAACTAAAAAATTACAAAAACAACAGTTTGACGAACCTGAAAACCCGATGCAATTACTTCGAGACAAGCAAGGAAAGCAACAACTGTTTTCCCACAGCCAACATCACCCTGCCATTAAACAAAATCATCATGATGGCATTTATAGTTTTGTTATCTAATATGACAAGAAAAACACTTAAAACAAACAAGAGAAAAATGAGTCGCTCCAATAGAGATGCAATATCAACACCTTTAGCATTAAACCTTGGTAAATTTCACAAGCTTAATTTATGACAGTAAAATTTTCACGGTTTTTAATATGAAGTTTAGGGGACATTTGGGATAACTTGAATTTTTTATTTTTATTATGTTTTGATTTTGAAACAATAGTTGATATGTTTGATTAGGATATAATTATCTTTTAAAACACACAAAACATCTAAAAGTTATTTTAAATGTTTTCAAAATCATGTTTATTTGTTTTAAGAAATAAAAAAATAAAATATAAATTAAAAATACATTAAATAAGTATATTTTAAAAACAAAGAAAAAACATAAACAAAAAAAAGATATCCCAAACAAGCACTTAATTTTTCAAAAATAGGAGCAAATATGAGTTAAAAATCCAGCACAAAACATGGTTAGTAGCAAATTAAATTGATAGTGCATTGGAAACAAGAAATAAATTCATGGAAGATAACACAATTATTCAGGTGCCTTGCAAAATTAGAGTTTCAAATGAATATGTGAACAAGTGTACGTTTAATCCAAACTTTCAACTTACGGGCTTTATGACAAAAAGATTATCAAATGACTGATCTAAAGATCAATTAGCAACGAAATATGAACTGCTGCAGAGTTTCTAATAAAAAATGCAGAGCCGATTGCAAGAAAGAAGGAAACAGCCAGTATCCATTGTGAAAGCGATAAAGAGAAGAATAAGAAAAAAAATAAATTTGACTAATCTTTAGAAACTCCTACTGCAGCCTTGACATAAAGTAATATAGTCAATAATAGAAAAAATATTTCAAATTACATGGCTCCAAAATAATGGGCCCTTATCGCATATTTATTAAATTAAGAAAATTAAAAAAATGTGCAAAACCTGAATGGATCCATATATTGATGACCATGATTACCCTCCATCAGTCTCCTTAATTAGCTAAGACGTAGGTTGCGTCCATATGCATCACAAAATTACACCTCCTCCCAAAAAGGCTTTCAACAACTAGAATCAACATCTCTTGGATGCATGTACCAAGGGTTGAAAGCAACAAGAAGCAAAGGCATTTTGTACAAGTGGCGTGCCATAAACTAGCTCAATTTTTGTGGGAAATAGGGAAATAATTGCAAGGGTGTGACCACTAAGTAGTGCATCGCACTTACATTAATTGAGGGATTTCACATGTAAGTGATGTGTCACAGCTTAACTGAAAAAACATTAATAAGAGCTAAAGTTAAGATTTTTTTTTTTTTCATAAACTTGGAGATTGCGAAAGGGAACACAATAGACTCGGAGAAAATGATGATTAATGTTGGAATCTCAATTAAACTAATGAGGAGTGTCCAGAGAATTGGACGAAAACACACTCAAGACCACATGATTCCATCATCATAAACACCACAAATTAAACCAATGTACCAATTAAAAGGTGTGAACGCTCTAGATATTTTGGGTCTATTGTTCAAAGGGATGGTGATATAGATGGGGAGGTTGTTAGTAGGATTCAAGTTGGTTGGTGGAAGTGGAGGAATGCTTCAGGTCTATCGTTGGATATAAAATTACCGCTTAAACTAAAAGGAAAACTGTATAAGATGGTGGTGAGGCCTGCAATGCACTATGGCGCATAATTGTTGTCGAGATAAGAATGCTTAGGTGGATGAGTGGCTTTACACTTAGAGACAAAATGCGAAACGAATATACTGTGATAGGGTTGATGTAGCTTCTGTGACAGACAAAATTAGAGAGTCGACTGAGATAGTTTGGTCAAATTAAGCGTTAACCATCTAATGATTCGATTAGGAAACTAGATGTTTTAAATACGACTTATGTTAAGAAAAGCAGAGGTAGACCTAAAAAGACTTGGGCATATTGCATAAAAAATGATCTTAATTTATTAAACTTAAACTAAAATATGACAACCAATAGGACGCAATGGAGAAAAAGGATTCATGTAGCCGATCCCACTTACTGGGATAAAGGCTTGTTGTTGTTGTTGTTGATAGAAACCATACTAGCAGACCATGTTGAATGTATGTTTGACTCAAGGGTGCGCTCATGAGACTAACACCAACTTATTTACTAGCAGTGGTCGCTATGCTGATAAAATTGAATATTTCAGAGGCACAAACTATCACCATTTGCTATTCAAAAGTACTGGACATGAGAGACAACATTTCAAAAATATGTCATAGCTATCGATTATCCACAAGTTTTAACTTGGCTCACAAAAAAAAGTGTAAGGCCTTGTTTGAGAGGGAGTCTGATCTCCATTTCATCGCAAAAACAATTGAGAGAATGCCTGCCTTTCGTTTGCCAGATCAACCTCTTCAGAAACATATCTGTCACAACATTATTTTTTGCCCTTTTGGGATTAAGCCTTGGGCTCTCCATTCCGCAGTTTCGAATGGTCGTTCCGCTTTTTCAAAAGGCAAATGTCCAAAATATCCTGCAGTATTTCCAGCCTCATCCTCCACGCCTCCGTCATCCATCTCCACCAACACTCTGTGGGCAATTGAAAGAGGTAAAGGCCATGCACCTTCATTTAATCCAGTAATTGTGACGACACACCATGGTTCACTACATTGAAGGCTCCCAATTCATTGTAGAGGTGAATAAGGTGAGAAACATGATTCATGGAGGAATCAAGATCAAGAATAGGGATGTTGTCAGATTCTTCAACCGTCTCCATGTGAGAATCTGTCTTTAGAATTTGAGGGAAAAAATATTCCACAATGGGATCCAGATCTTTTCAAAGAAGAAAAAGAAAAGACAGCTCCTAAGTGATTATACTTAAATGTGGTCCAACCTACCTTTAGATTTCATCCTAGAATTGATTCCTTCTGACAAACTTGTTTATCAGATACAACCAACAAAGTACAAGGACTGGGAGGAGTATATTATAGATTTATTTGTTTTCGACCAAGCTCATGAGAATTTATGTTTTTATGCATCTCCAACTCAAGTTGTGTCAAAAAAGAATGGATAATTTATCCATCAGGACTTGATTTAGAATAAAAACACCCACATGATTAACTTGCCATAAGGTTGCAACATTTTCACTTACCTTCAACAGGGTCGATCGGACTACCATGAAGAGACAAGCTTAGGCACATGAGGTTAAAGCTCCCCCAACCTCGGGAGATTAATGTAAAAGCAACTTAGGAGACGTTTTTGACATCATTGCTACAATATTGCCACAGTACAGTGAACTCACGCAAGCGAGGGCGACTTGCACCAGTCCAGAAGAGCCGGTCAACCCTTCCTTTATGTGGATTTCCGTCTTCTTGGTAGTGAGGTTAATTCCTATTTACCCTATGCCTATAAATATGTTGATTTTGCGTTTTTAAGTAGATTTTGGCTCATATTTCTATCAAGAAAGTCGCCAGCGTTCTGTGTTCTCCTTTTAGGGCTATATTCGAAAGCGAGAAGGGTTGGAAATTAAAATTTGATAATGATTTTGTTGATTGTCTGACTATCTATGCACATCACATACTGTCTTTCTTTGGATTTACGAGAACGGAAACAACATATAGGCTAAGACTACGTCGAATAAGTTGATTCCCTAATTTTCCAACTTGTTGTCCAGCTAAAAGCTTGCTTCTTGTTGTTTGTCGTCAACCCTTCCTACCACCTTCCAACTCCCGTTTCCGCTACGTCAGCTTGCAACCAACCACGTCATCCTAGCCCTAGAGTGTCTTTTGTGTTATGCTCTTATTTCCTTAATGTTGACAGTCTTTGTTAGTAACCTTTATTTTTATTTCATCAATAATAATTGCATTTCTAGTATGGTTCGTGTTAACTCCGGTATCAATTGACATCAGAGCTAGCCCAACTCTAATCCTATTAAAGGATTTTCCAGGAGCGCCTTACCCCTCCAAAATAAACTTTCTTACCCATTCACAAACCATAGCTAAACTTTGACCTAACCCTAATTTCCCCTTAATGATTTTCAAAACCAGTAACCCTAAATCAATTTTTATACCCTCTTTCACCTCCCAGATCTAAACCATAGCCATGACATTAAGGAGATATACAACGAGAGCTCCTTCGACTCAAACAGAAACTTGCAGAGATGAATGATAGAACCCGAGGGGAGATTATCCTCAACTGTGATAAGTCCATAAGCCAGTGTGAGAAAAGATAAGATTACTACCGGGTCTAAGGTGAAGCGGGAGATTCAACGTTTGTTCCTACTAGCTTATTACTGACAGAATGTTCAGACCATTACACAGCATCAGAGGAACTCCGCATCTTACAGACAGAGTTCAACCTCGGGATCTTGTAGTCAGAGGAAAAACTGATTCTACACGGAGAATAGATGGAACCAAGCCGCACACCTAAATCCATCCTAGTCAAGAAGTGCTTTAGATGCTACAGGTTTGGGTATAGTAAAACGGATTACAAAACCAGAAGAGTGATCGCTTTCACTAGTCGATGAGCAATTGAAGAAATAAACGGTGATATGAAAAAAGATGAAGACTTCATAGAGGATTCTCAATTTTTCAGCCAACAAAGAAGAGACGTCATCGATTCCATTCGATTCCAAGATAGATAATCCAGTTAAGGTAATAGTAGTTCTACAAAGTAGTGACTCTGATGTAATAGGCCTTACACGACAGAGTTCAAGATTTTGTTCCTCAAGCTAGCATTTTGCAAGCGTTGAGAGAAACATCAGCAGGACTGCCCCTAGATGTCCAAAGAGGCCATAAGTTTGAGGGAGTCGATATTAGACACAAGACAATTCAAAATAAGAGAAATTCTGACCTTTCAGATCTATAAACTCATTGTTGAGTTGCCTCAACTGAGAGAGGTCCTGCATATCAGAAACGAGACCTTTTTGTTCTATGTTACAAAGATTTCAAGGAGTTATTCAGATGTTAGATTCAGTTCAATATGGTACGCATCA